TTGCCAGTCTCTGCTGAACTAAAGGTAAAAGAGTAATAATAAAGGGTTACTCAAACATGTGTGAATGAAACAAACCATAACCCCATACATGTTTTTGATGTGCCAACAGCATTATAGTCTTAAAATTGTCTCAAAATCCTCTGTTCCACCTTGGAGTGGTAGTTTTCAAATTAACAGATACCTGTTACTTTTTACCACAAGGTGGAACAGAATGTTGTCTGGGAGAAGAACTCAGGTTTTTGTTGAGGAGACGGCATTATAGCATATAGTAGACAGCCAACAATGTAACAAATTCCCTTTAAGACTGGATTTGACATGTGGAGTATCAGTATTTTAAATGTATACTGTATGAAAGTGATGGAGTGTGCCTGGTGAGTGTGATGGTGGTGCTGTTGTTGGCCTGTGAAGGTGTGTCTGAGACCAGCTCACACATGCACACTCTTGAATGTGTGTTAGTGTTGACAGTGGGGTGCAGAGATTAGCATTTGTGTGGGTGGAGAGCCTCGTCACTCCCACTATCTGCGGCTAATCAAAGAGGTGGACGCACGTCAAGACAACTGAATAATGCATGAACACTAGGCCGGTATAGCGTGAAGGAGGCTGCCCTTACTGCTCTGGGTGGATTTAGGAAACACGAGAACATGTTTTTTATTAAACGCAATCCACTGAAATATTCAACATTACAAAGGGAAAGAGTTAAAGGTTTTGTTCTTTTCAGTGTGCTGAAGACTTACATATTTGTCAAGCTTTACATCTTTGGCATGCTATCCTTGGTCTTTCACAGAGTAAAACTGAATGTCTAGTTGGAACCCAGTATATCAGTGTGTGTATGTGTATATATGTATATATATAATATATATATATATATATATATATATATATATATATATATATATCATGACCAAGGATAGCATACCAAAGATGTAAAGCTTAAGCTTATGTAAAGCTTAGCACAAGGGGGCAGGAGTGAAGCATTCATATACATACAGACGACAAGATGGTGGCCAAGCCCCTACCAGAAAAGTTACAGATTGAATTTGAGCACTGAACTGATTGAAGACTAGACTTCAAAACCCTGGAGGAGCATTTCTAGATCACAACCATAAAAGATGAGGGTGAGTGCTCTCAAGGTGGAGCCTGGAGAAAGGAAATTAGAAGCTAAAAACGTGCGCTCATCCCTAGAATCAGATTTGTTTGTTTCAGTGGCTGTGGTTACATGAACACCAAAATCTGATTATAGTCTGCTTCCTGGACCTTTAGAATATTTAAATTACATGCAAACCTCAAAATCTGAGATGAGTATCATGAAAGACCATGATCAGAAAGAAATCTGATGATTTTGCTGTTTACACGTCATTTTAATAGTCGGAAAAAACATAAAATTTGTGCATGTGACTGCCGCCACTGGCACATGTGAGATGAAGGAGCTCATCGGTCATCTATCATTCTTCACCAAAATTACATTTCTCTCATTTCCAAATAAAGGTTCTTTATTAAAATAGAAGCCTTATTGGGAAATAATACTGGAAGACCGAAATGAACCTCTTTGAGACAAATCTCTCTCACTTCAGTTGTGCAGAAACCCTCAATATTTTCCAGTCTCCTGTGATATTTTTTTTTTCTTTCTTTGGTCCTTGTGAACAGCCATATTTGTTTTGATGCAGACAGACCACGTGTATCCCTGACTGGCTAATCCACCTGTCAATCACTCACCAGGGACCAGTCGCACATTTTCGTAAAGTATTGGAGAAGTGTGTATTCTGTATCCTAGACAAGAGTAATGTTATTTTAAAGCGCCGTTACTCATGCGTACAGATCTTAGCTACCCACATCTGCTCTTTTTTAGCTTTACTCAGTTACCACTGCCAGTTGCTCTTTTCTTCTGTGCATAATTCTATTTCTGCAGAGCCTGTTGTTCCATCATTGCCCACCTCCTGTACCATCCGCCCCCTGTACAACGGTTTTCTCCGCGTCCACCAGTGCAGAAGTGACAGTCCTCCAACCAGGTTAAGTGCGCGCTGACCTTTGTGTTAGAGCGGCCATTACGGACTCATTCCCCCAGTGCACTAACGCAGACTGACAGCCTGATGTTAGCCAACCTCTCCCTCCTCCTCTCTTTCGCTTTTAAAGGGGATTATAAACTGGCATTTCAACCTTTCTGTGATATTTCGTAGTGCCCAGAGACATAGGGAGCCCGGTCTGAACTCTCATGCACAAGATAAGTGTATTCTCTTGTGGGTATCAAGTTTTGTTAAGAATGGGAACTACTTCTTTGAACTCAGCACTGTAGCGGAAGTGCTGGGCCAAAAGGCAAGTGAGGATTTTCAAAGATGATGTTCATTTTGTATGCCTGTTACAGTGGATTCTCTCTGATGTATTGGCTACAGTTTGCCTACAGTTTTTATTACGCCTGTTGTCACGATACTAAGAAACTAAGAAACTACTGATACTAAGAAATAAACTATATACTACAGACCTCGATAGCACGATGATAATAAAAAACTCTCTTTAGACTCTTTCTTTAGACAAGATGAAGTGATTTTCAACATTAAATTGTAGTACTTTCTTTTATATTAGCATCCCTAAGTCATCCAGTCCACTACAGCAGTGTTTCCCAATTGGGGGTACATGGATTTGTCAAGGATTACTGGAAATGACTTCAGATTTAAAGATCATATACTATGCAAAACAGACTGTTTTGTTTCATTCACACATGTTTGAGCAATCCTTCATTATTAGTCTGTCTACATCTCCAAAGCTCATAATGCTCTGACAAAAAAAGTGTTTTCTGTTTGAGAGAAGAAGTGTGCAGAGTTTGTGTGTTTAATATGTGTGAAAGAAACAAAATGCAACTCCAGGTATGTTTACGCTGAGGAAACAACATAGCGTAATAAGGTATAATTGAATGTTATTTGTTGTACCAGATATATCACATAAAATATAACATAATAGCCAATATAGTAGGAAACAGATTCATAATGCCTAAAGAAACACCAGGACATTGTATATATGGGGTAATCATGATGCTTCATATGAACCACCATCTCAGATGCTATGCTCTATTTGTCCAAAATGGAAGTCATTATAAACCATATTATAATTATCCTCTTGTATCTGTTGGGATCGATTCATTGGAGGCTGACAGTGGGGCTTAATGGGACATTCTCCTCTGATTCAGTATGTTATGTGCATGCTTTTAATAAAGACAGATGTGACCACATGCTTACTCCCCCGGGCCTCAATCAATACCGGCTTCTACAACCTGCTTTAATAAGTGCTGCAGCTGACACAATTAGATATTTTCTCTATGTTTCTATTTACGTTCAGTGGTGATGTGTTGTACCTTGGGTCAGTCTCCGGTTGGAAATAAAACAATTCAATTTCACACTTGCAGAGGCAGTGTTGTTGTTTATATGGCCGGACGGGACAGTCTCCCGCCTTCTGATGTATGAATGTATTCCACAGGGCTCCCAAACAATCAATTCCAGACCAGTCACTAAAACCATTGTGTTTGGCATTAAAAAAGAGGAAGTCTACTTATGTTTCAATGATGTATGTATGGCTGTAAGTAACTGATCTTATCTAATAAAGTCTGAATTCAACAAATGTTGAAAATAGCTGATTTCATTGTAATAAAATAGACTACATAATAGATTTCAGTGTGATTAATCTGATTTGTATTTGACAGTTCAGATCAGGAACATGAATATTAGCGGGAGAGTAAATTTCTTTTGGTGTTAAATAAGTGACAAGCCTCTGCATTTTCAGATATATATATATATTATATATATACATATATATATATATATATATATATATATATATATATATATATATATATATATATATATATATACACACACACACACACACACACACACACACACACACATATATATATATATATATATACACACACACACACACACATATATATATATACACACACACACATATATATATATATATATATATATATATATATATATATATATATATATATATATATATATATATATATATATATATATATATATATATATATATATATATATAAATAAAACTATACCACAGGACAGGTGTGATAGAGATGTGACAGGAGACACAGGAGCTTCTAAGTACTTTACTGTACCACACAGCAGAATGACACAGAGTACAACATACATTTGATGGCTTTTCATATTCACTGGAATATTAAGAATCCATATTAGATCCAGTCTGTTGAAGCGGCTGTCCATTGCACCTGTCCCGTGCAATCTCACTTGGCATGGGCTCTTCTCCATGTGTTTATCTTCTGCGTGAGTCCATAATATTGACGTTCTATTGCTTAGCATGCATGCGGACACTCTAAGACATACACACTGTACATGTCTAAGAGCTAAGCACTGAGCTGTGCACACAGCACAGAGACATAGATCACATAGTTCACAGTTCAAAGATAAATACAAGTATAATCATTATTATTTTCATAAATATAAATCTTTCTTTTCACTCTTCGTTGTGCTGAGTCCCAGAGACACAAGTCTACCACAGCCATGAGGCGTTGTACTTTCCTGCTTGAATAAAGGTCACATGAAAAACAAATAGCTTCTCATATAGTGTCATGGTTTTCCCTAACAAGCACAAATGTGTCCACATGCTCCTGATGCAGGCACTTATTAGCGGAACTGGAACTATGACAAAAAGGTATTCCTGGTTTAGAATGGCTGCTCCTGCTTTTTATTAATTTATTTGAATTTTTTTACAAGCATTTATTCTTACACATTGAATCAGTTGAACAGAAGTGGGTGAGGTTACTGATGACAATGCATTTCTCCTCATGCATGTAACCACACTGTTTTTACTCATACACTTTAAAGTCCTCAAAACGAAGATGAACATGACGCAGTAATCCTGATCCAGGGACTTAGATGGACATGATTCAAATAAGTAACCAATAAGTACATCTGCATGTTATTTGCAGTCACATTATATGGTTAATGACATAATGGATCTACCCCTCAGAATCTTCTGAGTTTGACAAGTTTTTGGAAAGCCTGCTTGAATTCATCGTTGAAGACCGTGTAAATTACAGGGTTAATGAGAGAGTTGAGGTAGCCCAGCCAAGTGAAGACATCAAACAGCACGTTGTCAAACCAGCAGTCCTTACAGATGGCCATTACCAGCGTGCCCACGAAGAAGGGCAGCCAGCACACAATGAAGGCTCCCAGGATGATGCCTAGGGTCTTGGTGGCTTTCCTCTCTCGCGCAGCACACAGACGCTTCCTCTCCACCACACTGTCGGCCAGTTTCACTTTGACACTGTTGACGAAGAGCGGAGAGCTGCCTCCTCCGGTGCTGTGGAGCTGGGCCTCGGAGTTGAGCGAGCACAGAGATGAGCCTGCAGAGGTCTCGATCAGCTGGGCTGTGGTGAAGCGCTTTCCACTTGCCGTAGGCGTCTTAAAGATCCGTGAGCGTGCAGCCACGTAGATCCTACCATACAGGATAATAAGGAGCACTGTGGGCACATAGAAGGCCCCAAAGGTTGAGTATAGCGTGTAAGAGATCTGATCCGTGTTAACCACGCACTCTGTCAGCTCCTCGTGAGCCTTGGCCTGTCTCCAGAAAAGAGGAGGCATTGAAATGGAGATGGAGATAACCCACACCACCCCGACCATGATGGCAGCTCGGCGCATGGTGCGGCGTTTGGAGTACTCCAGAGCATCTGTGATGGCCCAGTATCGGTCCAAGGCGATCACACACAAATGTAAGATGGACGCCGTGCAGAAAGTGATATCAGATGACAGCCAGATGTCACACACTATCTGCCCAAAGGACCAGGTCTTACTCACAGTGTAGACGATGCTAATGGGCATAACCAGAATAGACACCAGTAAGTCTGTCACAGCCAGGGAGCCTATTAGGAAGTTGGCAGGGGTGTGGAGTTTTCTGGTCAGGAAAATAGTGGCAATGACAAAAGCATTGGAGAGAACCGTCGCCAGGGTGACGAGCGCGAGCACGGCAGACAGCGAGATCTGAAAGCCCAGCAGAGTGGCCTCGCTCCAGGGCTGCACGGCGCTCGCCCCTGGGACCTCAGAGGAGTTAAGCAGGAAGTAGTCCAGAGAGCTGTTGTCCAACTCCATCCCGCGTGTTATCCCTCACAGTGATCAGACCAGAGGCACCTGCTCTGCTTTCACAAGTACAGGTCACAGCGCCGCATGGCCCTCTGGCTCTGCTTCTGCTGGAAATAGATTGGCCTTTTAGTGGAGCAAATATATTCCTTCATTGTGCGATGATGTCTACAGCAGAAAGTGTGTATCCCGACATTTTACTCCATTAGTTCAAACCTCAGCCGCACTCGGAGGACTTAGACAGAGTCATTTCACCATTTTTTGTTTTGGTATTGATTCGTTCCCTGGTGTTGTTGTGTGGGAACAAACTCTCATTGGTATTCAGGTCTGGTGCGGTAGACACTTCCCTCTCCCCTGGTTCTTATCTCATCTCCCACCCAACAGCACCTCCACCGCAGCCTCCGATCTATCACACTCCTAATGGGCTCCTCCTTTTCAATAAGCCCGGTGAGGAACTGCGCACGCGAGATGATGGCCAGAGATATACACGGCGCCTTGTTGTCTCTTATCTATTCCAGAGTCCTCATGAAGCCTGCTAAATTGAGGCTTCGGCTAAAACTTGGCTTGCAATGTGTTCTTGGAGATATCGGAAATGTGCAAATCAGCAAGTCAAAATGCAGTTTTACAGTGTCTCCAAATGTCGTCGTGGTCCATCAGGGAGGTGCTGTGCTGGGGATTCCACGTTTGAAGAATCCTGGAGAGACAGACAAGAGACGGCAGTCAGTATGTGAATGAAGCTATTCCAATTCAGTCTGCACTATAAATAGCGAGTTAAAGGTGCACTATGTAACTTTTTGGCTGCTTGTTTCTATGGATATGCCATTGCACTGCCTGGTATGTTTCACATTATGACATTAAGCAGCTCTGCTTTACATTTATTCAATTACAGGTGGTTTATTGCTCAAAAATACAGAGAAAAACAGGCATTCTGACTGTGACCGGGGTCGCCTCTCCACAGATCTCACCTATAACTTGGTCTAGTTTGGGCTACATGAAGATAGAAAGTTTTAATACTGTACTGTGAAATATTCCAGACAAAGCAGAAACATTTCCACAGAGAAAAGTGTTTGACACGTAAACTTTGTATATAAAAGACTTTGAATATAATTAAAATACTGTCCCATTTTAACTGTAGGTTTTAATAGTATTTCAACTTGTTTATATTGTAAGGCGACCTTGAGTGTCCAGAAAGGCGCCTAATAAATAAAATGTATAAAATGCTCTTTCTGACACTGGCTCCCATTGACTTACATTAGAATACTGTTGCCCCTCTTCCTCTAACTGCTGCTGTGAGCCTTGTCATTTTGATCTTAAAATGTTCTTATTAACCCGCTCTACATGGTCCTGTCATTTTTTTCCTATTCATAATATAGAACCTGGCTCCAAATTCACTCCTGTAACCGTGACTACTTCATTTGAGCGGCTCTGAACGCTGTGGGTGATGTCACACTCGCTGAGTCCACTTCTTTATACAGTCTATGGTTTGACAAGCTCTCCAACAAAAAAGTTACACAGTGCACCTTTAACTCATAAAAACAAAACTCTGGTGAAAGTTCTGACACCTGGTAATCTCTAGGAAGACGTTATTGCGTTGCCTGAAATGTTCCACAATATGACATTAAACATATTCTGCATTTATTCAGTTGCAGATGTTTTTATTGCTTGTTTCTATGGAGAATGGAGATAGATTATGTTTTTGTCATTTGGCAAAAATTTAACATCACTATGGAGACAAGCAAGCAAGGTGATGGTCCCTCCCTCGACTAGATAAAGTTACATAATACAGCTTTAAACTCTGTTGGATTGGCAAAAGTGTCTGACTGTGACTGCTAATGCTGCGATAGCCTGGACTACAACTGTTTTCCCTTTTCTGAAACTGATAGGCAGATTAATCAGAGAAACACAGCACTCTCGAAAAGTAGTAGTATTTGAAGTAGTAGTCGGGTAGCATGACAGCAGTTTTCCCTAGTGCTTGTTTATTCACCTTTGTAAAGTCAAGATGTAGTTGTGCTCAGTCAAAATGCTTTCACTTGTACCATTTGCGATCGACTCCTTACCTACTCTTCAGATGTAATTCCTTCCTATCTTCCTTTAACTTTTCTCTCTGAACTTAATTAAAGTTTTAAAGTACTATTGTGTCCGGAGGTTCCAGCTCTCTCAGAAACTGGGCCAGACCTGATGGTGTGCATAGAATCTGGAATCAATGTCTGTGATCTCAGAATAAACTTTTATGTCAGATTACAAAAACAAGGTTCAATGTGCAATGTTCAAGGTTCTTTATTTGTCATTCAAGCATGAGAGAGAAACACATGACAGAATAAAATGTGTTCCTCGAGGCCCTGTGAAAACAAACCTGATGTTATCATTATGGAAAACAAAAGGGACTGAATAGCAAAGCTAATGTATAGAAAATCTCTCCCCAACTATAATATTGTCAATCCTTGCCTAACCATGGTTGTGTCACTGGGCAAAACACATCAGTCTCATTGCCAACTCCAATCAGGGTGGAAAGTTGCAACAGGAAGGGCATCTGGCATAAAAAAACAACTGAATTATATTGCTGGTATATGAGGTTTGTGCAAATGTACACTACTGGTCAAAAGTTTTAGAACACCCTAATTTTTCCAGTTATTTATTTCAATTCAAGTCATGCAAGTCCAATGAATCTCTTCAAATGATACAAAGGTAAGTACTGAACAGAAAAAACAAGATAAAAGATAACAAAACACAAGTCCAAGCTCTGCCAAAACTACCTCAGGAAAAAAGAACAAGATGGTAAAGCTTGAAAACATGGAGTGTCCAGCACAGACTCCAGACTTAAACCCCATCGAGCTGGTTCTGGATAAACTGGACAGAAGAGTGAAAGCCAAGCAACCTACAAGTGCCACACATTTATGGAAACTTCTGCAACAGAACTTTCTGAAGAATATTTCTGTTGTAAAAAGATCGAGCCACGAGTGTGTTCAGCTGTTATATCTGCCAAAGGTGGACACTTTGATGAGTCAAAAGTTTAGAATATGTTTTGGTCTATAAATTGATTCCATGATCGAGACAAATTACTTATTTATTTTATGCTTTCATTTCAGAGTGCAATGTAAAAAACTGGAAAAAGTGTGTTGTTCTTAAAGTTTTGACTGGTAAATTTCTTTTATTTATTGATTAAGAAAAGTATTTTATTCAAACTAGGGTCATCAGAAGCATTGAGAATCAGATACTAATCAGTACTAAAACTAGTATCAAAACTAGATATTCATTTCAGTAAGTATCAATACTAAAAAGTTCACATCAAATGGACTTTCCTGAATAGCTTTGGAATGATCTTGAGCTGCATCAGAACAAATATAAGAGCACATAGATTAGTATCCGCCCATGGACCAATTTGAAACCTACCTGGACAACTCAGGGATTACACAGATATAAAGAAAGTACTATGATTTTAATCTTTAAAATCACATACAATTCTTTTCCTTACTATCAAAATCAACTTTGAAATGTTAGTATCATGACAAAACTAAGCAAAACAATAAATATAAAATCACCAATATGACGGAAGTTGCCAAAGCTCTGATCAGGTCCTCAATATGAAAAAATTCCCAACTTTGGCCCTCAAGATGAACTCACTCAGCATGAGGCCTTCACAGAGTTGAATAGGGCCCTAGTTAGATGTGGCAACCCCAACCTAATTACGCGACATGTCGAAAGATAAAAAGCTTCTGTGCACATAAAGGACAATAGAAATCTTGTGATGTGATAATTCCCATGAATCAAAGTGCACTGCCCTCCTGCTGTTTCCAATGTCACGTGTCTTTATGGCTTCATTAGCTGTAGCACAATTCCACTATTTTTAGTTCATGGATTCAAATGCACTTAAAGCGTCGTCTTGGCGAGTATAATATGGATTCACTTATTTTGCTGTGGAGTTGAAGCGAAACCCGGGCATGGCAGTTTTTCCACTAAATTGGCTAAAAAAACAGTGTGTATTATTTCGTAGTCTGCGCTATAAATGTTTAATTTTGGTACACCCACTGAAATAGGCTTACAGTTTGCTGCACTGATCCATCAGGACAATGCAAACTCTACACAGGAGGCATTATAATTGGTGCGTATTCTTTCTCATGTTTTATCACTGAAATCGAAGTTATATACTCTACCTTAAAGCTAGCGTTTTGTTCTAGCCAAACTCCTCACTGGGGATCCATGTACTGGTAAATGAAAGGTGATATTCAACGCCAAGGCAGGTTTCAAACTGAATCGCCGTGTGGGATTCATTCTAAGTATACATCAGCTGAGAAGAGTAGAAAAACGTGTACACAAGTAAGAGTAATGTCAAAATATTACTCAAGTAGAAATACACAGTAGTAAGTAAGTAAGTAATCTTTATTTATATAAAGCTTTTCACAGATATTTCTTGTCACAAAGACGCTTTACAGAGCATTACATTCAGCATTATTCTTTCAGTAGTGGTTCAAGAGATCACTGAAGTAATGTGTACGATATTTTTGATAGTTTCACTCAGCCCCAGCTCAAACTGTACAAATAAATCACAGGGTTTAAAAGTTCACAGCTCATGATTCATGTTCTCACACTGTACGAACTACTCCAAGAGCGCAAAACCTTCACAAGAGGCAACTGGATTTCAGGTTTGATATTCTTGCGACCTACGATTGCTGACCGGGAGCTAGTCGTGAGGTTTTAATTGGTTCTCGTTACCACATGTTTATTACACGAAGGACGACATAAGATTAAGCCAAAACTCGCTTCCAAAAACAGTCGCATAAGTGAAAAATCAGCTCAAAAAATGGCCCAAAGTTAGTGTATGCCCAGTTTAAGAGTAAAAAAATATTTGAGAAAGTACCACTCAAGAGAAGCTTAACAAATCTGGGCATAACATCTGATTTATCATTTTAAAGTGAATGTAATTAGAAAGACAAAACATTAAACAATGAACAAAAATGGGTATTTTCAAAGAATAAACACAGACTTCATATTTGAAGGAGCGGTACAAGAAACAC